TTCTATGACCTGGTCTGGCTTTTTCCACTCCTCCTGTCCTTGGGATCCCCACAACTGGTGCCTCTTCTGCTCCAGGTGGCCCAGGAAGCATTCCACCTTCTGGGGAGGGGAATGCTAAAGGCAGCATGGAACCCCTGGGGAGGGCTGGTCCAGCCTCCCTATCCCCACCAGGCAGGGTAGAGTCTGCAGCCTCTGATAAAGCAGACAGACTCCAACCAAGGGCCGTGCTGCCAGCCAGAATGAGTCTGAACACTGGCTTAAATATAAGGAACTTGTGGCCCAACGCTCTGGGGACCTACTCAGCTCTTATCTTATTACTACAGGCTCTAGATGTGCTGGCATGAGACATACTACCTTTCCTCCCCAGCTGCTGATGACTTCAGAGCTTAAAGCAGTAAGAGAACTGGGGAAGCAGCTGTGGAATGCTAGAGAGTAGGAAGGCACGAGAGGATGGGTTGTCAACTGGGTCCTGAGGGTCATCCAGGCCTTTAGGAAGCAGTGGATCCAGGAGGTTAGCTATCGGCTGAGAAACTGGGTCACTAAAGGCTTGAGTATCTAACCTGGGCTGTACCCTCACACAGCGCAGGGATGACCTCCCCAAGAAGCCCCATCTTGCACAGCTCCCTGTCCTTCTCTGGGAACTGCCACTTTCATCAGGAGACTGAACTTCTAAGGAAGCTCTCCTATCACTGAGCACAGGGACCCTGGCCCTTCTTCTGCCTCCAGCTGGTACCCAGCCACACCCAGCACATGCCTCTCCGACACACCGCACACCTCCAGGAGTGCTACCCAGAGATGACTCTGCTCAACATCCCTGTTGGTGACTCCATTCTCCTCTTTCTCCTTCAGATGCCCCAGGCCCTGGCAAACCTTCTCTTGAGAATATGATACCAGATGTGGGCACCAGCCCTGAGCATTCCAGAGATTTTGGCCTGGTAAGGAGAACTTGTTAGTTCAGATCTCCTTGGGGCTGCAGAAAGGCAAAAAAGGACATGGGGGAGAGCATGGGAACCTCACTTTCTGCTTCAGAACAGCAGCTCACACTGAGCCTAACTGAGTCCCAGCCTGCATTCCTGCCTCTGCAGCACCTGGGCTTGCTCCAAGGGATTCCAGTGCTGTCTGAAAGTGGCTGACCAGCTAAGCCCACTGCCACCTGCTCTCTGCAAGCTGCACTTGCAGCTCCCTCTTTATCCATATCCAGTCCCACTCTGGAGCTCTTTCTGAGCACCTGCCACCGAGAGAGGAACCAGGCTTCAGAATAGGCCCTGCCATGGTGGGGTGCCGTGATTAATTCTCCATATGCACCTGCACCCTTCAGTGGGGTTCAGTGGATGGACATAGTCTAGTGGCCAGAGGTGTCAGCTGAAGACATGTGACAGGGCTAAGCATCAGGTCTATGGGCTCTGTCACAGTGAGCTCTGCAAGCAGGGCTTAATCCTGACCCCTGGCCCCAGAGTCCCTCTGTTGATTTGGACTTTGAATAAACACTAGCCTCAAATTCACTAACCAGTTCTCAAATCCAAGTTTCTGTGAATTGTGGTGCTCACTACAGGCAGCCATATGGTCAATAAGCATGATCTTGTTTAATCCGCATGGGCAGCCAGTGTGTGTATGTGGGGGAAACAGAAGCTCTGAGGGGAGGTCAAATGGCCCAGATCATGTGGGAGTCCAGGGGACCTGGAATTCCCAGGGACCTGGAATTCCCACCAATGCAGCATTCTGGCATCAGAACCTACCCTCTCCCACCCCTGCTGCTCCACAGTGCTCCTCCTCCCAGCATGGGAGTCTGGAAATGGCAGCCATTAGGGGAACATTTGGGGGCCTCTACAATTTAGCTTTAGAGATTTTGGCCTGGTAAGAACTCGTTAGTTCAGATCTCCTTGGGGCTGCAGAAAGGCAAAAAGGACATGGGGGAGAGCATGGGAACCTCACTTTCTGCTTCAGAACAGCAGCTCACACTGAGCCTGGCTGAGTCCCAGCCTGCATTCCTGCCTCTGCAGCACCTGGGCTTGCTCCAAGGGGATCAGAAGCCTTCACATCAGGTCACTACTCTGGCACCTTTCTCGATTCCATAGCTTCAGGGGGCCTGATCCCCATGCTCATCACTTGGTGAGGGAACTCATGGGGTAGACAAGAGCAATTGGCTGGCTTTACCACCCCCTACTCTTCAACACCACCTTCTTCACCTTCAGGGTCTGGGCCCAATCCTGCCACTGCCCTCCCACTCCCAGGCACCAGGCATTCTGCTCCAGCTCTGCAAAGGCCAAAGGAAGTGTGTCTCCATCTGAGCAGGGGGGACCCTGGTCACCTCTGACATCCCTGCATCAATCCCAGACTTGTCACACCTCCCATTCCCACTTGGGGCCCAGATTCCTGCAGCCCTTCTTGATCTAGTTGTCTCCCTATGTGTCACCACCTCCCAAGACCTCAATGAAGGCTGGCACCTGGTCTCACCTCCCACACCCTGGCACAGCACCTACAACTCCATCCTACCTAGGTATTCCTTCCCAGGTAGCGGTGAGGAGCTTTCCATGGCAGCCTGTGCCCTGACTCAATCTGAGCTGAGCTTCACTTAGTTTCAGAGGGGCTCACAGTGGGTAGAACTGGGGGGTGGGTATTGGCCATATTTTGGGGGCATGTTGAGCCAAGACAGGGTGGCACCCCATGCTGTAAGAGAACAGGGAGGAGCCTGACTTCCTTTTCAGGATTCCAGGAGGGCTTTCCAGGGAGTGACCTTGGGGCTGAGACTCAAAGGAGAATCAGCTGTGCTCAGGGAAGGCAGAGACGAATGTGGCAGACAAGAAGAGCACCAGTACAGCAGGACTAGGGTTCAGAGTCCAGGAACCTGGGGATAAAAGGGAGACCAAGAGGTGCAAGAGGAGCTGTGGGATTTGCATGAAAACAGGGCAGGAGCATCTCTCTGGTGCCTTGGATCCCGCTGCAGACTTCAACCACGCAGAAAGGACTTGATGACCACAGGGCTGGAGACTGGAGAAAGCATGGGTTGGAGGGGCAGGAGTTGTGGAGCAGCTTCCTCTGGGGGTGGCCCCAACCTGGAGCTCCCCTCTCAGCAAGGAGCACTGGAGGGGTGGAGGAGTAGGACTGGAGTAGTTACCAAAAATTCACATGGGGTTGTCACTCTGAAAGGTGTGAGTTCTTTTAGGAAGAAATAAACAAGGAATGAAACTCTACTGGTAAACTCTCAAGCAGGAAGACCTCCAGACTGCAATGTTCCAGGGTGGAATGGGGCTGGGAGATGACTCCTGTCCCACCTCAGGGAAAGAGTGCTTCTTTGTTGCTGGGAGGCAGGGACTCCTGGATTCCACAAGGTAGGAGGGCTGGTGAGAAGACTGCCTAACTCACCCCATCAGAGCCTGGCGCCTGGGGCAGGGTGAGGGACAGAATCCTCTCTGAAGACTTCTGTCCTAGCGCAGATGCAGATATGGTTTGGTGTCCTGCAGCCATGGAAACTGCAAGCAACACTGAGCGGTGTGGGAAGAGTCTTCCCGCCTCTTCTGATGGGAAGCAATACTGCTGTTGTGGCCCAGGCCTCTAGATCCCTGAGGGGCGGGATCTAGAGGCCGGCACAGTTGGGCTCTGGGTTACCGAAGTACACACTGAAGTGACTCCTAAATGTCTATATTGTGAGGGTCGGGAGTGGCGGTGGTTGGGTACATTTGATTGGAAGGGTACTCGGGGGGGTCGGTCTTGATGCTGCACTCAGCTTTTAATTTCTGTTGTTTACTTCAGGTGGGCGTGGTGCAGCATGGCGGAGGTTTTTACCCAAGGGGTTATCACTCAAGTAATAATCCTCCAAACCCCAACTTCGGGAAGAGTAAGAAGCTGCGACTGCGGCTCCGGAGGATGGGTATACTGCCACAGAGCCTACGGGGCCGCTCATCCCCAGTCCTCAGTGGAAAGGGAACCGGCGGACCCGCGCCCTGGCGGTGCTGGGGAAACCCCAGCTGTACCCGTGGAGCCGGCCCGAGGAGGGGCGGGGCCTGGAGGTACACTACACCTGGGCACTCCACTCCGAGCCTGCGGTCTGGCGCCCCTGGCCCCCGCCCGCCCGCTTGGCTGAGCGACGCCGGGGGCGGGGACGCCACTGCGGGAGCGGGCGGGGCGCGCACGCTCACAAAGTGAGGTTTCCCAAAAGACCCCAACCTGTTTTCGCCTCTGGAAATGTGCCTAGTACTCCCCTTGGCCCTGATCTAGCGCGGGCCAGCAGGTGGACGGGGTTTAGTTGGCCCCACACTCAAGGCCACTGTCAAAGGGGGTCTTCGAGTTACTCGTTGAAGAAGCGGCAGGGCATGGGGCTTGGGTTCCGCGGGAGTTTAAGTAAGAATCAGTGCTCATGGCAGTAAGACGCCCCAATGGAGTTCAAACAAAAGGGGGACGTCCTCTTCCCCAGACCACTGCCCCGCCAAGGGACCCCGCCGTCTTGGCTCGCTCATGGGTGTCCTCCCAGAATCTGCTCTGCAAGCACGAGCGATCTTGGGCGTGCCGCCACGGCTTTCAAAAAACCCGCACAAACCGAGAGAATGTGGTTTGATTCTTTCACTTAAGCGGAGTCGCGTCCCACTTCTCGGAGCCCCGACGCAAGAGCCTCTGTCGTGTGCTCTCCAGGTCGCAGGGAAACAATGCCAGTCCTCTCCGCGCGCAGGCGGACACGGCGGGGCAGCGACAGCGGAGAGGGCAGAGCCTGGTAGTCGACCGGGCTCCACCTTTTGGCTCCAAGCGTCCTGTCAGCCGGGGACGCGCACCTATCCGGCTTTTAGGGACTACGTGCGTCGAGACACGGCGTGGAGGGCCGGGCCGCTGCCCGGAATGTCCCTTCGGCCCTCCCGGAACTAGTCTTCACAGCTGCAGCACCGGCCGGAGCCGAGGAGGCTGGTCCCCCAGAGCCTCCGAGTTGGGTGCTAGAGCGGCCAGGCCTCTGGGCCAGGTCGAGCCCGGGACGACTACGGCTGCGTCACGCGGGATTGGGGGGGCGGGGCCGCCACGGGCGGAGGCCGGAGCCGGAAGCGGAAGAGGCGCTCGGAGCGGGCAGTGGGGCCTAGCCGCAGCCCGAGCCAGGGAGACGGTGAGTGTGGGCCGGGGCCCGCGGCGGCGGCGGCGGCGGCGGCTGGGGTGCGTCGGCTGGGCGGGCAGGCTGGTGTGGGTACCCGTGCTATCGGTTCAGTCTCGGTCTACACCGTTTCTTTCTCCTCATCGGCTCACCTCAGGCCGCGGCCCCGACCTCTCACCCCTGACCTGCCGCTTCTCTCCCGGAGGGCGGCCACTGCAGACCCCAACTTCTGGATCCCGCGGTGTTGGAGGCGGAGCCCAAGCGGCCTCTGAGGCCCCTGCGAGGATCCGGTTTCTGCCCTACGTCTGCCCGCCGGATGAGTTCGGGGTCCGACCTAGAATAGCCTGAAAGGGCTTCGGGACCGCTTCCCTACTCCCGACTCGAGGCTTAGTCCGCAGGCTCTTCTTCCCCGCGCCGCCTGGAGTTTGATTCTAGCCCAGGCTGGCCGCCTCAGCCCGCCGGGTCTTCCTTCCGTACCACTAGTGGCGGTTACCGGGGACCGGGCGAAGGAAGGGATGTGATCGAGGGCCTCGGGTCCCATCGTGTTTTGTTGTTATGATGGAGCCGCTTCAGCCCAGGAAGCAGGCCAGGCCAACTTGACTGTACAAATGCCCAGGCTACTCCTCGGTCCGGCCGGGAGTCTATGCTCCAGTTCCGGGTGCGGGTGCCCTGATGTGGAGCCGGGGTGGGAATTGCTTGAGCCAGGCCCCTGTCAAGGCGGAGTTGGCGGCCTTCCAGCTTCCCTCCTCCGTGCCCTTGAAAAGGAGGAGCGTTTCACCCGGCGGCGGCCGTGGCTTCCGAGGTGGCAGGTTTGAGGTTGCAGTGGTGGGGCAGTGCCAGCCAAAAATAACCATGGGGCACTGGGGTGGCGTGAATCCGGGAGGGCAGCCGCTGACCTGGCTGGCTGTTCTTGTCAGCCCAGTTCTTTGGCCAGGAAAAGCAAAGGAGAAGCCGACTAGGCCTGTGCTCAGAGAAAAGCTGGCATCCTTGTCTTGGTTTCCTTCTCATTGCTTTTTCATTGTGCAGAGCCTCCCGATGCACAGTTGTGTCCCTTAGCTTCTTGAAACTACCTGCTTGCTGAGGTCTCAGACAATCAGTGACAGTTGGTGAGAAAAGGGATCTGCTAAAGCCCTGGCTGAGAGGATGAGGAGAAGCACCTGGTGTTTCTGTATTTCACCTGCCTCCAATGTTATAGGAGAGATTGTCTTCTCTATTATTGCTTTATGTGTGGTACTTTATGGCTCTCATACTTGCAATTCCTTTGCCAGGCTGGTAGGTGTTGTCTTATTTTCCAGGCATAAAAGTGTGTTATCTTTATTTTCCCAGGCCTAAAGTGACTTGTCTAAGGTCACAAGGCCAGTAAGTAAGTGGCAGCACTGGGATTTAGTCAGGGTTTTCTGCCAGAGGTCTCTTCTCTCAGATCCCTTGAAGAAGAGGCTTATAAAATGTCCTTAAGACATTTAATAGGGCTGGGGCTGTAGCTCAGTGGCAAAGCACTTGCCTAGCATGTGTGAGGCATTGGGTTCGATCCTCAGCACCACATAAAAATTAACAAATAAAATAAAAGCATTCTGTCCATCTACAATACAAAAAAAAAATTTTTAAAAAAAAGACATTTAATAGCACTGAAGGGTTATATGGAACCTTTTTAGTGTTAATGAAAAGTGCCTTTAGTACCTCTTGTGGGCCCAAGGTATTTGACTTATAAGAAAGACTTATTTAAGAGATTACTGTTTCTTTGTTGTAAGAGGAAGCTAAAGATCAGGTAGTTTTAACAACTTACCCAAAGGCAAACAGCTGGCAGTGGCATTGTCACAATTCAGACTGACATCTGACTCCCCCTCTACGACTTTCCATTCATGTAAACATGTGTGGACATAAGAAACTTTTAGGTCCTGGAATGAAGGGATGTGGATTAGACCATATCCACATCCAGATTTGGTGCTTTGTCTGCTCAGTGAGGTTGGACAGGATTACACTTGCCTTGTGGGAAGGAGTGTGCCCTGACCAGTGGAGCGTCTTCTGGGTTAATTAGTGGAGTGAAATAAGGCTTTCAGTCCATAGCTTGGGCACCTGACCCAGGGTAATTGCAGAAAAACAGTGAGACATTAGTCAGATCATCATCAGAACAACAAATATAAGTTCTGTCACTGAGTTTACATAGTGTTTATCTCCAAGGATTGCTAGAGACCAGGCTTTCAGGTGTGTTGAAGGGGGTGTTGCTACTGGGGAGATTGAGGGCATTGCCTTTCTTAGGACCATGGAAAAGCTTCCAGGGGCAGTGGCAGGTATGCCACATCATCCTGCTTATCCTCGGGGAACTGTTTCATCCTGATAGACTGCACTGGAGAGATGTGGTAGCCTTGGTGGATTTGTCCAAAATGTGCTTGGTTGGGCAAGCCCAGGACTGCCCAGGATGGGAGACTGGCTATGGCCAAGTAGATGCTTGGAAAGAGGCTGTCCAAATTTCTTGCCTAGCCGTCCTGTGGAAGTAACGTCAGAAGCTGGGATGCAGGTGGAACAGGGAGCTGGCCTCACATATCCACCTTTCTCAGCTGATGGCTGATCCAGCTTGACAGTTTCCTTTGGTGGATATAAGTTGCCACTGGACAGGAATATTGAGGTGGGGCCCAGCCTATCTGTGTAGACAGGCTTGCCAGCCAGCTAGTCCTTTAGCTACTCCTGAGATGGGCATAGAAGAGGTTGCTGGAGCAGGCAAGATAGAAGAGGGGATGGTACCTGTATTGTTAGGGAAACATAAGGCACCTTGGCATGGCACTGCAGGTGGTCTGGGGGTGGTAAATGGACCCCAGGCAAGCAACTTAGGCATTCTGGGATCCTGACATCCTGCTGGTGCTGAGACCTAGTGTGGGCCAAAAAGGGTTGAACAGGTCCACGTCCACATCCACATCCACTTGGCTAGACCCTCGTATAAGCTAGGGAGTGCCGGTGAGCCACTGTGTGCCTCTTTTTCCAAGGGCTTGTTTTCTCATTTCTGCTGTGGCTCCTGGTGCTGACTTGTTTTACTGCCTTGAATGAGTCCAGTTTAGGGCCTCAGCCAGGTAACTTTGAGCCTCTCAAACCAGGCTTTGGCTCTTTGCTCTGTGTGTTGGCTCTATGCCAGCTGCCCTTTGGCCTCAGGCTTTCCAAAGCATTCAAGTCATGGAACCTCACAGGCAGAAGGGAATTGAGTACAGGAGTCTCCCTTTTTTCCCCCTACCTTGGCATCCCTGTGATAGTGCTCACCATCTTTACCCTGTATTCCCACCTTGGCCCACCCATTTCCCTGAGTGCTTGGGCCTCAGGCCATGCCAGGGAGGCAGCTGTTTATTTGTTCACTGGCAGAGAAGGGAGTTACCCATTGTCTGCTGTTTGGCCAGTGTGACCTCAGAGTTCTTCTTCACTTCATAAACCCCTGGGAGGGGCTGCCCCCAAACATAACAATGGGCCTCTTCTTCAGGAGCATCTGGTGTGCCCCACGCCACCCTGTGGCTGGAGGCAGCAGGCTGTGTGTTGAGCAGGGCTCTTTCTCACTGCCTAGATGCATCACTGTAAGCGATACCGCTCCCCTGAGCCAGACCCGTACCTGAGCTACCGCTGGAAGAGGAGGCGGTCTTACAGTCGGGAACATGAAGGGAGACTACGTTACCCAGCCCGAAGGGAACCTCCACCCCGAAGATCTCGATCCAGAAGGTGAGTGGGAGCTGGGTAGGAAAGAGGGACTCCTTTTACCTGGGCAAGGAAGATTGTCTGGAGGCTTTGGCAGCCCCAGTCTCTCCGAGATGACTCTACTTCTGCCCAGCTCTCCTTCCCCCCATCCCTGCCCTAACCCCTCTGGGCTCCTTGTCTAATCTCAACCGGCATTTTCTGGCCTTAAGTAGCAGCCTTCCTTGCCACCCTTTCTTTGTCCTGGAGTGTCTCTTTCTCTTCTCCCTGTACATTCTTCATTTTCTAAGCCAGTGTCTCCCCTGCCAACCTCCTGAGCCTTCCTCATTGGGAATTAGGAACATAGTCTCAGTCTAGGAAAGATTGGTCCCTGATCCTGTCTCAGGCCCCAGACCAAAATTATAGTCATAGCAAGCTATAGGTAACTTCAGAGTGTTTTGCCCTCCACATGTTCACCTTCCCCTGTCCTCTGCCTTCTGTGGCACTGGAGGGATGCTGTCATTAGCCATGGTTCTGGGGGGTGAGCTTGGTATTTTCACACCTTCCCCTCCCCTGCTCACTTACCCTCAGTCTGTATGCCTCTCCAACAAGCTTTCCCTGAAAGCTCTTTTTAGGGACCCACAGGTCTCTTACCTGCTAACAGGGACCTGGCTAGTGGGAGCAAGCGCCACACTTGACTGGTATCCCCATCCCCCTCTTGTCAGCCACGACCGCCTGCCCTACCAGAGGAGATACCGGGAGCGCCGAGACAGCGATACATACCGGTGTGAAGAGCGGAGCCCATCCTTTGGGGAGGACTGCTATGGATCTTCACGTTCTCGCCATCGTCGGCGGTCTCGGGACAGGGGGCCATACCGGACCCGAAAGCATGCCCATCACTGCCACAAACGCCGCACCAGGTCTTGTAGCAGCGCCTCCTCGGTGAGTGGTGGCCAGAGTGTGCTGGCTGGGGCCAAAGGCCTCATCTCTTTTTAGCCTCTCTCAGGCTGGCTGGTCTGGGTGAGTACTGCCAGCCCTGCGCGCTGCTGTGCGTGCATGTGTGTGTGTATGTGTTGTCTGGTCCAGGTGCAGGGCTGAGTAGGGACCTTGGCCCTCTGTCTTCTGGCCCATTGCCAGGGGCAGCTATAGGGCTTTGGCTCCAGCTCTGGCTGGTCCCAGCCTGTCTGTGTCTACACACTACTCCAGACCTAGGCCACATGGTGCAAGTGGCCAGGGACACTTCTCAGGGACCCCAGTAGGTTGTCAATATGTGACCTTGGGCTACATGACCTGGTCCTTCCTACCAGAGATCACCCTCGATGTAGCTGAGTGCTCTGACATGTGGACTGCACCCACCTCTGCAGTCTGATTTCCACACTCCTCCCCAGAGGCCCTGAGGCCACAGTGCCCCCATGGAGAGGATGTCAATCAGCTCTGACTTTTTTCTTTCTTATGTGCTACTGGGACTTGAACCCAGGGCCTCACACACGCTGTACAAGTGCTCTACCACTGAACTACATCTCCATCCCACCCATCCACCTTTTTTTGTTTTTTTTTGGTATGGTAATTACTGTGTTGCCTAGGCTGGTCTTTGAACTCCTGAGCTCAAGCCATCCTCCCGCCTCAGCTGTGACTACAGGTGTGCGTCACCATATATGGTCAGACAGCTCAGATTGGGAGCTTCCCTTTTGACTTCAGCCAGGCCCTCTTCAGCCTCACTTCTTTGCAGGAGGAACAGTCACAGGAGGGACAGCTGTCTGTATGATGGGACTTTGGAAGAAATGGCAAAGAGGTCCACAGCCCAGGCAGCTCAAGGCCTTACCCTGTTGCAGGCCAAATACTAAGAACAGGGCTGGCCAGTGTTCTGATGTGGAGGGTGGTACAGATCTCGGCTGAGACCAGGAGCCCATACTCCACTCAGTCCCCTGGGAAGAAAGCCAGTGTTTGTTCTGAGGTTATGTGCTGTTTTCTCTTCTCCACATCCCTCTTCCCTGCCTCCCTTCTGCCGTCCATAAGGCTCCTGAGGATCAGTGGAGGGGCCAGGCATCTTCTCTGCCCAGCTCTCTCTGTGACTTCTTTGAGCGGCCATGGGTTGATGGTTGACTCTCTGCGTGCAAATCCGTCGTGGCCATGTGGCCTCTGTACAGTGCCACATGCTGCCACAGAATGGCAGTGCAAGTCTGTGGCTCTGCTTCTTCTCTTTTGGTGCCCTCTGTGGTTGTAAGGCTTGGGATGGGCCTGGCCTCTGAGCAGCACAGGTGCCAAGGCCAGGGCAGGAGCTGACTTGGGGCCTGTGTAGGCCAATCGTTGTAGGAGGACTGGAGGTCAGCCATCCCAGAAGATCCCAGGTTCCTTTCCTGCTTGAGACTGGTGGCAGGAGGACTGCTAATGGAAGGCTGTCTCTGGTAGTGTGGTTACTTCTGGCCAAGGGTGCCGTCTGGGGGCAGGTAGCAGCTTGGCTCTGTGTGGCAGCTGTCAGGCATGTGCAAAGAAGGCTGTGTGGGTGAAGGAGGCAGGCAAGGACAGGCTGGACATTCTGCAGCTGAAGCCAGGGTAGCCCTCCGACCAGTCCAGTTGGTCAGACCCAGGCTGGGCCAGCTGCCTTCTTGTGCTGTTTCTCACTGTGTCTTTAGCTCTGGCTAAAGGCACCATGGGAGGGCCAGGGAGGGGGAAGACTCTGAAGAAGAGGGAGTCAGGGCTGAGGCTGTCCTTAGGGCCCGGCCCCTTGGCGGCAGAGGCTGGACATCTTTCTGAGCGTTTGTGGCGCTCCTCTTATAGATAATGTCCGAGTTTCTTTACATACCTGTAGCTGTTTTTACTTTTCTGTTTTTGAAGTCAGTTTGTGTCTTGACGTGTCCCTTGCAATATCCCTATCGTTATATATGCTGTGTGCCTTATGAAATGCTGGGATCTGGAAAATCCAACCAACCAACCCACCGGCTCCTCACCGTCTCCACCTCTGCCTTTGACTGACACTTCAATCTGTCAATCGGAACCGCCTACCATGCGATTGGTCGGATGGCGTTTCGGGGGGCGGTGCATGCAGAGAAGCCAACAGAGCAGTAAGCGCAGCAGCCGGAGTGTGGAAGATGACAAGGAGGGCCACCTGGTGTGCCGGATCGGCGATTGGCTCCAAGAGCGATGTACAGCCACCTTTCGTAAAACTTTACCTCTCTACTTTCTACCCCCCTTGTTAGACGAGACCTCTCCTGCCTGGAGGGGCCTCTAGTGCGCGTGGCGCCTTAGTGGGGCCACAGTAATTGCCTGAATGACACAGACACTAGACAACTTCCGTTTTTAAGAGAGTAGCAGTGAGAAAGAAACCTCTTTTGTTTTTGAGAATTTGAATGCTGTGAACTTGCAGGAGCCGCCGACCTCCTGCCCTTCGGACTCTCATGCCCCACTTCTTTTCTCTTGTAGATGAGATCGTGGGGAACCTAGGTGAAGGTACCTTTGGCAAGGTGGTGGAGTGCTTGGACCATGCCAGGTGAGTGAGCTGGGGCAGCACAGCTGGCTCCAGATGTCATCCTAGGAAGAGTTAGCTTGAGGCTCTCAGGAGTGATGGCTCTCAGAGTTTTGAGAAAACTCTTTGGTGGGATTCTGATCTGTACATGTTGGAGTTTTGCTGACCTCCTGAAATAAGGGAGAAATCTTGAGGTTCAGCAGGCATGTGATGTCCCTGCCCAAGAACTGCTCGATAAATGGCGTTGCCCCAGTTCTTCAGGGCTATGATGGTAGATATCAGAGCAGAGCTGAGGTTCTGGCTCCTCTGAGGCCTGGAGCTGCTTCCTGTGAACTCATTCAGGTTCTTGACCTGTCAGGGGTTTGGGAATATTGCTAAGTCCAGCCCAGAATTGACAGCCACCTACCCTAGTCTGTTTGAAAGGCTGTGCAAATCCTGGTTGAGAGAAATAAGACTCTGGACTTTTACCAAGCAGGTCACTGCCTTTCCCAGTGTGGCTAGAGTCTCATAGAGTCCCTGCTGAGTGTCAAGGAGAGTGGGATGGGTATACTTATATATATTGTGCTGCTGGGAGCACTCTGCTCCCTCCCAGGCCTAAGAGTGTAACACCTTTGTCCTCTACCATTCCTCAAGACTAGAGGAGTAGTTTCCTGTGTAGCTCTGGGTTGGGGAGGCTACCCCCTGGAAACCAGTTGCCTCCCTGCCTTACTAGGTCTCTGAACAGTAACCTTAGCCATGAACTGCTGGTGCCTCATTTGAACTATGAGCCATGTCAGTCACTCTTTTAAAGAATGCTGCACAGGGTTGCATATCTCAGCTATTAAGGCAGATCTGGGAACCCTGTGCTTCCACATTAAAAGGGTTGCTCAGCTGCGTACAATGGTGCATGCCTGTAATCCCAGCAGCTTGGGAGGCTGAGGCGGGAGGATCGTGAATTCAGAGAAAGCCTCAGCAACAATGAGGCACTAAGCAATTCAGTGAGACCCTGTCTCTACATAAAATACAAAATTAGGCTGGGGATGTTGCTCAGTGGTCAAGTGCCCCTGAGTTCAATCCCTGGTACACCACCCCACCCTGCCCCGAAAAAAAGGGCTGCTCAGTGCTGGGGTGTAGCTTAGTGTTTGAGCACTTGACTAGCTTGTGCGAGGTCTAGCACTGAAAATAAAAGAGGACTGCTTACAAAGGATAGTTAGACCCAGGAAGCAGCCATTTCTATGGGCATGAGGTAAAGCAGTGATATGACTGAGAGGAAACTTCCTTTTTCTCCCAGTTCCCATTTAAACATGCATGAATCCAGTGTGACCCAAGAGGTTAGGGTGGGGATCAGTGAGTGTAAGGATAGGACAGATTCAAGAATTGTGACACATAAGGGCAGCTGAGCTCTCTGGGCTGGAAAATGAGCCTGAGGGAAAATGAGCCTCTGAAGTCGTTAAGGAGAAGACATAGGACCCAGAGATCCTTCAGGGGACCTTAAAGGGAGGCAAGCCTGGCAAAGTGATTTTGTGGACGCTCAATGAGAGGAAAGCCTCATCCTCAGAGCCAGTAGGCCTGGTGGGGGCTTCTCTAAAAGCCTTATACTCCCTTTGTTCAGGATTGAAGTGCCATGGCAGGATCTTGTGCTGGGAGGCTGGGGTAGTTGCCTTTGTTCTGAGGTCCTGAAGGTCTGAGGAGAACAAAGTAGGGTATTCTCTAAAAGGTGCCTTTGCCTTTGGGCCTGTGGACCTATCTATACCTAGGCACCAGGAAGTCAAGAACATTGATGGAGGCCTCAGAAGATACCCTTGTGGGTCAGGGCCAATTCATTGTCAAGTCACCACTGGGCATCTGAACATTAGCTGTCCTTGACAGGTCCTCAGGAGGTTTTCTTCTCTCTTCACATCTGCAAATAGCATACTGAGGTGGGCAGAGCAAGGATTGTTTAGATCCTTCTTGGACACCTAATAAGAGTTCCTGGTACTCTTCAGTTATTGGTAAATGCTGTGGCTAATAGGCAGGCAGGGAGGAGGGCCTGGGAAGGTATGTACCCTGGCCTCCTGGAACCCTTGCCCCCAGAGGCTCTTTGGCTTGTAGATGTGCTTAGGTCAAGAGGTATAGTAGGGAGGGCTCTGAGTGGGACAGCCTGGCCTGCAGCTTATTTCACTGGCTGGGCTCTGAGAACCTAAAAGCCTGAGATCAGCATGGAGCCTGATAGATCTAACTCAGATGTTAGGCAAAGTTGCTATTAGGTGACAGATCTGGTAATGCATCGTGCAGGCTGGGCCTCAAGTGTCTATTCTCTTCAGGCAAGCTATTCATGGAGCCTGTTTGTTGGGAGTTGCTAGGTTAGGGTGGAGGGTGAAAGAGGGGCTGGGCAGCCACTGATGAGAACTTATGCTTCCTTCCTGTGTGCCAGAGGGAAGTCTCAGGTTGCCTTGAAGATCATCCGCAACGTGGGCAAGTACCGGGAGGCTGCCCGGCTAGAAATCAATGTTCTCAAGAAAATCAAGGAGAAGGACAAAGAGAACAAGTTGTGAGTGTCTGCAGTATTTGGGAGGGAAGCCTTCAGGGGACAGAGTTTGCTCCAGCCCCAACTGCTTGGGGTTTCACTGTGTCTTGTCACCTCTTTGGCACTGTGCCTTCTCAGCACACTCCAGAGTGAGTCTTACCTAAACAGCTGTTGGACTTTAGTCCAGGCTTCACACCAGCCAGCTTTGTGTTCTGAGGCAAGCCCCAGCCTTGCATTTGTGAATTGGAGACTTTGCTGGTTGCAAAACTGGGGACCTCACATAGTAGGAGACCTCCAGAGGAGAGCCTTCCTTTAGCAGATAGACACTCACTGAGCACATATGTCCTCCCCCCCTAGCATGGTGCCTAGCCAAGCTTGGACAGAGGGCCAAGTCCACACAGGCCCTCAGGAAGCTCAGTAGCAAGGGGGTGTCCTTTGGTATATGGTAGGCTGCCACTACTCCACCTCACCCTCAGCAACTCTGAGGCAGGGCTTCTCTCATCCTGTAAGTGAATGAGCTCAGACCAGAGCCCTGGCCCTCTGTGCAGCAGGAAGTTCAGTCTTGCCCAGAGTTCATCTGGGTGATGGATGGCCAGTGGGGAGATGTGCTCTGGCTCTGCTCTCTTCACATGTATCTGCATTGTGGTGTACAACCCAGTGGCCTACGAGTGGGTGGGGGCTGTCTTCATCTGAGGAGCAGTGAGGCAGCCCCCAGCACAGAGCCTGAGCCCCACCCATCCTTCTCCCCCAGCCTGTGCGTCTTGATGTCTGACTGGTTCAACTTCCACGGTCACATGTGCATCGCCTTTGAGCTCCTGGGCAAGAACACCTTTGAGTTCCTGAAGGAGAATAATTTCCAGCCTTACCCCTTACCACATGTCCGACACATGGCCTACCAGCTCTGCCACGCCCTTAGATGTAAGTGTCCACCCTCAGATGGAGCGTGGGATGGCTACACTCCTGCAGCAAAGTCACCTGGTTATTCTTGACTGCCCCCATTCACTCCAGAGCATTGCTAATCATTGTGTTGGGCCTAAGAGACCCCCAGGGGCCCTAGAGAAAGGTCTTCTATCTTTAGGTAGGAACCTTAGTGTTAGGGTGGAAAGGCTAGTCTCTCCCCCTCCTCCAGGGACCTCTTGGGCTAGGCTCTGCCCCCAGGTGCTCAGGAAGAAAACAGGGAAGGGCTGCTTTAGATTTGGCCCAGGAGCCAATCCTGCCACCCATGTTCATGCATAGGAGAAAAGGTAGAAACTAGACCTGATAGACTCCTCTACCTCTGTCTAACCATCTGCCTGCCAGCTTTGAAGAACATATTTGGTGGTGCAAGTGTTCAGCACCATCAGATTTGTGACAGTTATAGTAGAACATAAAGGACTCTTACATAAAGCAATAAGATATAGATCGAGGGGGCTGGGGATGTGGCTCAAGCGGTAGCGCGCTCGCCTGGCATGCGTGCGGCCCGGGTTCGATCCTCAGCACCACATACAAAAAAAAAAACAAAGATGTTGTGTCCGCCGAAAACTAGAAAATAAATACTGAAAAATTAAAAAAAAAAAAAAAAAAAAAGATATAGATCGAGGATGTGTGGGGTCTGGATGGGTAGCAGGAAGAGGGACAATCAAGCACAAGGGGAACAGCTCAGCAGAGGCCTAGTGCAGCATGCTTGAGACTCACTCCAGTGGAGAGAGGGCTTATATTGGGAAATGGTGGGTCACAGAGTTGTGAGGGTCTTATATGCCAGATGTGATTGAGTGTGAAGCCACTGTTGGTGGGCTGAAGGCAAAAGGCTTCCCTGCTTAGGGCTGGCTTCATGTGTGAGTGATCCTGTGGTCAGTTACACTTCAGTTTTGAGCAAGGGGCCTGTGTTTTCATTTCACAACAGACCCTGCAAATTACACAGGGAGTGTTGGGGAGGGGAAGCCACCTGAGGCTGTTTGCTGTGACTTTGGTGAAAGACTGGAAAGGAGGCCTGGTCTTTGCAAAGGAGAGGAGGAAGGAGGTTTGGGGGATGGAAAACCTGCCCTTCCCTGTCCTCCTTCTAAAGGCAAACCCTCAGAGTCTCAGGTAGAGCTCTTGAGAGGGATGCCAGTGGGGAGATAAGATCAGGTCCAGCTCTCTGCTGAGGATGGGTATGCACGGCTCTGGCAGTTGCTGGCTTTGGAGGAGTCTAGGCTAGAGCTGGTGGGAGAGCCAGAGGGGAAGACAAGGGTCTCAGGGTTTGCTTCTCCCTCTTCCCCTGCTTCTCTAGTTCTACATGAGAACCAGCTGACCCACACAGACTTGAAGCCAGAGAACATCCTGTTTGTGAATTCTGAGTTTGAAACCCTCTACAATGAGCACAAGGTAAAAGCATTGTTGGGGCATGGGTGTGGCACTCTGGGGCTGGTTTACCACCTGGTAGACTGACCTGGCTGGCCTACCTTGTCTTTCAGAGCTGTGAGGAAAAGTCAGTGAAGAACACCAGCATTCGAGTGGCTGACTTTGGCAGTGCCACCTTTGACCATGAGCATCACACAACCATTGTGGCCACCCGTCACTATCGCCCGCCTGAGGTGATTCTTGGTGAGTCAGCCTTGTTACACCTGGCAGTTAACCCTGGGTGGGCATAGAGGTGGTGGCATGCCTGTTAGTCTGCCACCAGGGTTGGCAGTGTCACAAGACAGGTTGACTTGGCCTTGTAGGAATAGCCTTAGAGTGGGCCTTGTACATTTGGACAAGAGTCCCTTCAGCCAGAGTGGCAGTAACCCATGACCTCTAGGCTAAGTCTCACAGCTTCTTACTCATTTTGGCTTGCAGAGCTGGGCTGGGCACAGCCCTGTGATGTTTGGAGCATCGGCTGCATTCTCTTCGAGTACTACCGGGGCTTCACACTCTTCCAGGTACACTACTTGAGCTGAGTGCTGCAGGGCCCTGGGGTGGGAAGCCCTGAGTGGCTGAGGGGGACAGGTGTCTTCCACCCCCCACCAGTCATGTGAGATCCAGACTGTTCAGAATTGTGGATGCTCATGAAAAGGCAGAGATTGGCACACAGTTGGAACACTCAGGAAAGAGCTTTCTGCTAGGACAGAAGACATGGGTGGGTGGGAGAAGCGAGTTGTAGGCAAGGGGGCACAGCATGAGTGCAGGCTTGAGAATGGATCGGGATTGGGCACCCAAACTGAGGAGAGTGAAAAACCAGAGTGTTGTGTAGTCAAGGCCTAGTGCAGCATGCTGAGACTTACTCCAGTGGACAAGTTCACCTGCAGAGCTGCCTCCACATCAGAGGTTGGGAGGTTCCATTGGTAGATGTGCATTTCCTGGGCAGGGAGACTACTTGCCCATCTCTGCTCACTCTTTGTACTCCCTGAAGGGGCTGAGGCTGGGACTGACCCCTACTTGCTCTGTCCCTGGCCTTCTCTAGACCCATGAAAACCGAGAGCATTTGGTGATGATGGAGAAAATCCTAGGGCCCATCCCATCACACATGATCCACCGTACCAGGTAAGGAGCCCTGGTGGTTCTCTCAGGGCAGTGGAGGGCCTTTTCCTGGCTGTGAGTTAGCAGGGCACTTGAGATATGTACAGTCTTTTTTGGACATTACATGGCCCTCCAACTGAATTGGCACAACTGCAGCCCAGACTTTCCTGCCCTGCTGACCCAGACTGCTTCTACCTTGGGTTCAGCCAGGAGCTGCCATTCCCCATCTCCCACCACTCTTAAATTCCCTCTCCCTTAATTTTTAGAAAGCAGAAATATTTCTACAAAGGGGGCCTGGTTTGGGATGAGAACAGCTCTGATGGCCGGTATGTGAAGGAGAACTGCAAACCTTTGAAGGTCAGTTTCTGGCTTCCCCCAGCTCAACTCATGCCAAGGAGACCCCAGGCACCAAACAGCAGAGACAGAACGGGCAGCTAAAGGCTGCCTCCTCGTTCCGGCTCTGTGGGAGACAGCACCCAAGACTGCTGGGTGTTGGCAGTGAGGCTTCCTGCAAGCTGCCCCAGAGGGGCCCTTAGCCCTCCCCCTTCCCCACAGGGTGGCTATGAATATAATTGGGGAACACCAGAAGAGCCAGATGTCAGAGACCCTGCTGCTTCCTGACCCTCCCTCTCATCTCAATTTTGGGAAGAACTAGGCAGGACTGAGGCAAGGGGGAGGGAAGATGTAAACATGGCCAGGAAGTCTGTCAACTGCATCTGGTGCCTGGACAAGTGAATTTTGCAGAGGTGATTTCTACCCACCTGTCAGGACTTTGCATGTGGGGTAGAGGCACCAACCCAGCAAGACACCCAGTAGCCTAAGTTCTGAGCAAAAACCTTAGAACTTGGGCATGAAAGGCAAGGAGCTGCTGTTGTCTGTCCCAGAGGGCGGAAGTAGAGTCCTCCAAGGAGGCATCCCAGAGGCAAGGGGACTGCTGTGGACCCTGCCGTGACACTGAGGCACCTTGTGTCCTTGAGCAGAGTTATATGCTCCAAGATTCCCTGGAGCATGTGCAGCTGTTTGACCTGATGAGGAGGATGTTAGAATTTGATCCTGCCCAGCGCATCACACTGGCGGAGGCCCTGTTGCATCCCTTCTTTGCTGGCCTAACCCCTGAGGAGCGGTCCTTCCACACCAGCCGCAACCCCAGCAGATGACAGGAGCAGGCCCATGCTCAAGGAGACGGAGAACGGGACTGGGCTGCCAGCCCCTTTTCTCCAGCCTCTTCCACCGGGCCTCGGCCAGAGCCACTCGATGAACAGTGCAATGTGAAGGAAGGCAGGAGCCTGCAGGGGAGGAGACTTGGTGCCCAGCTGCCAGAAAGCACAGATTTGACTCATGCTATTTATATGTTGTAAAGTTATAATAAAGTGTTTCTTACTGTTTGTAATCCCTGGTACCAGTGTGTCCATCTCCAGGCTCCTTGTCTTCTCCCTTCCCCTGACCTTATTAATAAAGTCTTTCTTAGCAGCTCAGCTTGTGGAGAGCTAAGTGTGAACTGGGCCAGGCACAGAGGGGTGAGCCAATGAACAGACTAGACAAAAGGCTGGGCCCAGGAGCAAAGCAGTTCTAGCCCAACATGGGATTGAGGTGGCAGGCAATAAGACCCAGAAGGCTCCTGTACCCCTAATCCCTGTCATTGGTTGGGACAAGCTATACATACCCAAAGACTGGTCTATTGAGGGTATAAGATGATCCAGGTGGGCTCCTAGATTGGGGAAGGCAGCTTGCAGAGCAGTTCATACAGCACAGGACTCGGTCATTCAGCTTTATTGTAGTGCTGGTTTTTGGTTCCCAAAAGCTGCATGAGTGATAGACTTGACCACCTGACTGAGGCTCTTGGGACTGGCCACTGGGCAGGATGCCTCCCAAGAGGGCTGAAGGTAGAGGAATTGCATCCATCTTTAATACCTATGGGGATGTACAGGCTGAGGGCAAGGAGAAGATCTAGTGCCACTTGCAGAAGCAGGGAGAGGTTTGGGCACAAACTCCCAGTGGCCCCTCAACAAGGCCATCACCCCAGAGACAAATTATTGGCATTAACAGTCTTTAGGACCAGAATTTAGCTAATTCTCCACTACACCCAGTCAGGGGGCCTGTATTTCCAGATAACCAGAACCTGTAACTACTGCTAAAATGCCTGTCATACAGACTGCTCCCCAGACTGGCCTTGCTTCTACAGAAAGAGGGTCTCATCTTGGGAGCTTGTCCCTGAGACTGAGCAGAGGGCTCAGGAAGGATACACAGCACAAGGGTCCCAGTCCCTGGCCTCTTCACACCACTGGAGACAACACTGGAGGGTTAATGAGAGGAAAGGAGGGACCAGCCCTCTGCCCTATTTGGAAAGAAAAGTGATAAGCAGCCTGAAAACCTACAACACCAGGGCCTATACTGTGTCCACAATCCTTGGCAAGCCAGCCCATGCACTCTTCAACAAGTGATGCATACAGAACAAAACCAAAGGCTTTAAAGCTTTTTGTAAGGGACCTGGCCAGCTCTCCAGATATGGATCTTGTCCTGCCAGCCTCCAGGGACCAGGCATGTACTGGGGCTTGGTTTCTTAAGATCTGAGTAGTAGGTGCTCCCATGGCCACGCCCCACCACCAGCTCATACAGAACCAGCCTCATTTGAGTATCTGAGATGGGCCACTGGCCCCAAGTCTGTATCTAGAGTAGACGACCTGAAAGGATTCAAAGCCCAGAAGTAAGGGCAAGGGTGGAGTCCAGGCAGGAGAGGGACCCTGCTCTGGGACAACAGCTGCAGAGGACCATTTCAGGAAATGGGCACATGGAAGTACAGGCAAGGAGGCAGCAAGTGGTGGCCTAGGACTGAAGCACCAGGGAGCCTCCTATGGCTCAGCACCAGGCTCCCCCAGGGCTTTCCGAATCCTGGACGTTAAAGCTGCACACTGAGGAGTCAACCCTCAGCTAGGGGGTGGGCACTGCTGGCAAGATGGGCACTATGGTAACATGTGACCTTGTACTGAAGACAACAGAAAACCAGCTTAAAAATCCCAACAGTTAACACCATCCAGATGCATCCCTTTCCCTGCCTCTCAAAATGAAGTGGAAAGACCCAAAGAAAAATCCCAGTGTAAAGTTTGGATCCGCTCAAGAGAAAGGTCAAAATCTGTGGTAGGGCAGAGGGAAGGCCTAAGCTGCCACAGCCCTCAAAACGGATGGAGAGCACAGGCCTACCCTCTGGCAGTCAGCTGCATGCAGCCTGGTCTACATGATTAGAAGGGCTGCTTGGTGGGAGGAAGCAGAGGAGACAGTATGCCATAAGCTATAAAATAAAGCAGGTGTAGGCCCCCTCCAGAACCTGGCCCAACCCCCAAGGCGCTCATGCAGGCCCAAGGGCTGTAAACCTGAAACACAGTCTCAGAGCTGCCTATGTCTGTAAACAAAACCCCACCTGGCACTCAGGGCCAGCTAGGTGCAGAGACACCTGGAGCTGGGGTGCTCAGCCTGACCCCGCCCCACACCCAGTGGGAAAGCCTTCCTTCCCTAGCCACGGGCAAGTGACAGGTCAGGTTTAAGTATGTTCTGTTCTTTTACAGAAGAAACAAAGAAAAACTTAACAATAAGGTCCATGAAGCTTCACATCCTTAAGGCGTTCATCGTCAGGTTTGGTGGCAGGAGCAAGGGACTGCAGAGTCCAGTCTGCCCAGGGCCCCTCTAGGCAGAATGTAGAGGGATGACAAACTTGCAGCCAAAGGGTGAATGGTAGTTGATGCCCACCTCCTGGAAGACTTGCTGGGGAATGCCAATGTCACACAAATAGACACGGCCTGCGTGCTCCCCCAGTGGCAGAGGCAGGCCCAGTGCCAGTGACCATTTGGCATCGATGCCCTGTTCGACTTCATGCACAGGAGGGTCTATGCTGAGTACTGGTGCCCGGTTCTGGTTGGCCCAGGCCACGGCTGCTTTGTACCAGGGCTGATCCCGCAGAAAGGCATTCTCTGGGCAATCCAGGCAGTTGATGACCAGGTCAACAGGGCTAGTGGGCAGATCTGCAGGTGGAAAGAAAACTGTCTGAGTACCTAGAGCACACAGCAGCCAGGTTGTGCTGAGAGCGTTAAGTGGACCCAAGAGGGTCTTGCTTACCAGACATCCATCCAAAAGGCCCCGGGAGTTCCAAAGCCTGGATGGACTGGGTGCCAGAGGCTGAGAGTATGTCATCTGAAGAACCACTTCCCTCATGGGGTTTTGAGGCTGAAGTACTAACCTGACAAGAGTACAGAGCTTCTCAAGGCACAAGGCCCTCACCACCTCTGCCTTGAAGACAGGCCTCTGTACGCCCACTAATCTGGGACATTCTAAGCTCTGGGAAGGTAGTAGAGTCCACTGTGGAGTCAGCCCTCACAGGGAAACCCTGATGGGGTCCAGGAGAAACAGGAGCTGATGACCAGCGAGCAGGTGAGAGCATAAGTGCCTACTCATTCTACTCTGGTTAGCCTGCCTACTATGAAGCCCAAGTTTAAGAATGGGAAGAAATAATCACTGCTCTCCCAGCATTTATAAAGGCACCTCTGCTTGATTGAACAAGGCCCCTGGGACAGTATAAGAACAGGATATCTCAACAAGTACACATATCTTAGACTAGCTTAAGAAGTTAAACCTGAGAACAGCTGAAGACCAAATTCAAAGGTTGTTTCCTGAGTCACATCTCCTACAGTAGCTGGATTATGAAACCTTTTGGGACTCCAGAGAAAAAAACTGTCTGAAGAAGGCATCACGTTGGAGACTTCAACTCACACCAGTCCCCAATCCCAGCTCTCAGCCCACAGTAATGACATTTCTCATGGCTTCCCTCTTATAACACATCAGTATGTGGAGTCCTTGTGGGTCTTGAGACACTAAAGAGTGGTGCCCACAGACTGTTTTAGTCCAGGCTCCACCCTGACTTGCTTCTGCACTCTGGCAAGGCCCTCTCTCTGGATATTTGCTCCAATTTTTCTCCCTCCATTCTCACTTAAACCCTGGTTCAATTAGACTCTGTCCCCACCACTGCACATGAGACTGCTAAATCTAATGGTTAATTCTCAACTTTCCTGTAAACTTAACCTAGAATGGATCATGGACACATCTGACTACGTTCCTTTTCTCACCTGGCGCTTGGATGCCACACTCTCCTGCTCTTCCTTCTCTCTCCCTGGCCATTCCTTCTCGTCTCCTTGGCTAGATTCTTAGCTCCCTGACTCTGAAATAAAGAGCTTACTCCTCTGACCCTCTTTCTACTCTCTTCAGCTAAACACTTGGGACTCAAAGCTAGACCCCTTCTTTTCACTCTAGGTTCATAAACTTCCCACTGAATAACTGACAGTCATCTCAAACAGAGCCTCTGCTCTTCATCCCCACACCCTCTCCTCTACCAAGTCCCACCTCAGTGACAGGCCCTCAGTTACTCAAGCCAAGAACCCAAATCATTCTTAGCTCTCCTCTCATTCCCTACACCCAACGTGTTGACTCTATTTTCAGAACTGATTCAGAAACTAACCACTTCCCACCCTTCTACTGCCACGCTCAGCCACCATCAGCTCTTGCTCCAAGTCTCAACAATAGCATCTCAGCACCCCTATGTACTCTGATCATGAACTCTAAGCACCAGACTGCTCATCTGAAACCTGAGTCCAATTAGACCATTCCTTTGCCAATTCTTTCAGTAACTCTCCAGCCCACCCTGAGTAAAAGCCCAAACCCCTCATTCAGGGTGATCTGTGGAGCCCTTCATGGCTGACCCTGAAATGCGTGTCTCCTACTCCCCATCTAACCTCCCAATATTCCTTTTCCCCCTTCCCTGCTATTTCACTCCATAACACTTACTATCATATGACCTAGTGTGTTAATTATCTGTGCATTTACCTCTCCTAACCAGAATGTGAACTCTATGGAAGAATGGATTAAAAAAAAAATCTGTCCCATATTCCCAGTACCAGGAACAGTGCCTTTTCTGTAAGTATTTGTGAAATGAATACGTTGGTCTCCAGAGTTCTCTGTATGGGTAGTGAGAGAGGGCAAAGGGAGACAGGATAGAAAATAGGCCACCCACCAGGTTTCTTCCCATAGGCAGCTCCAAGACTCCTTACAGGCAGAATACTGTCTTGTATGCATGTGGAACCTTTCTTCAAGTTGCCACTAGGTGGCACCACCAGACCATCAAACTACCAAGGAGGTAGGCGCTCTTCTGCCCCCTCCTCCATTAGAGTGGGTTTGTTTGCTGTGCCTGGAACCCTAGCCCTCACACAGACAAGGTGAGCACTCTACCACTGTTCCCCAGCCCTAGGGCTCACCTTTGAGGCTAGACACTTGCTGACCCTGGGTCTTGCTGAAAAGAGACAGCTCGTTGGTGATGGACTCTAGCATCTTGACAAAATTGGGCAAGAAAAGGATGACCTGCACATCATGGTTGGCTAGGTGCCTTCCGCAACTAATACCCTGAGCCCCCTTCACATGGGGCCCACACAGCAAAGCCACTGTGGGCCTCTGGTGAACATTCTTAGGATTCAACCTGGAACAGAAAAAAAAAAAAGGAGTTAACAATTACTCTTACATCCCAATAACAGACAAAAAGGCACTTGCTGCTATCAGGGCTCTCTCCCCTGCTCACCAAGTACCAGGCTCCAAAGGGGCCAAACGCCGTAGCAGGCCAGGCCTATAGGGTGTTGTTCCCACAGTCCCACACCCTGTCACTTCATTGCTGGGTCTTCCGATCAAGGAGTTCACCCAGATCTCATTGCATACACTACCACTTTCTGACTCAACACTGCTTAATGATTCTTCCCTGTCTGACCTGTCAGGTCCAAGCTCTGCCTGGCAAAGGTCTTTCTATCCCTGTAGCTTCCACTGGCCTTCATTCCTAAAACATTGCTCCACTCAAGCAAGGCTGGTCTCCCTCTCTCCAGCACCTGTAAGGCTCTTTTTCTGCTTATATGCAAACCATGTCCCCTGCCCAGAAAGCCCTTTACTTTTCAAACTCCTACCTACCTTTTGAGTTCTGACTCAAGGTTTACTACTTCTGGGATTACTCTAGCTTGCACTAATTTTTCTCCTTTTCTCAACTCCTAATAAACTCACAGCAAGTACCAATATAGGGTAGTTCTAAATTGTCCTCAATCCACTGCCAATCCAAGTTTTCTTTTCCAAGCTGCCAGTAAGCTAAAAAGGATGATGCCATAGTTATTACTAGTTTTTTAGTACCTACTTCATTGGACACTATGTGGACTGATGGATGCGTAGCACTTAGAAGTGCCAGACGAGTTAAGAAAGTACTTGACTATGTAGACCATGGAGGAAGCAGCTGCCTTAGATAAAGCAGTCACTGTTCAAAGCTGAGATGCCTCTGGTCTCAGAGAAACCATTAGAGTAAGGAGGTGTGGAAGATGGAACTTCCAAAGCCCTGGATCTATGCCCAACTATAGGCAGCATGGCTGGCTCACAAGGCAGGAAGGTGTGATGGACTACAAAGCTATAAGTCCCTGCTTAGGGGCAGAACAATGACAACCATCTCCCGAAGGGAGGAAGATGTTGTCAAACCAAAGAGGAGCTTTATAACCACCTCGCTTTCCAAATAAGTTTTGGGGGAATTGAGCAATGCATTCTACATAGATGCCAAACCACTCATTAACCCCACTCTGTGCATCTGGATGATCAACTTGTTGTTCTTGGTGTTCCTAGTGTTGAGGACATGGTTATCAGTATATGAATACAAGGGCAGGTGGGAAGATGCCACATCTCAAATTGCCCTACCTAGCAGTCAGAGTGGTTCTACAAGTTTTCAGGTATGGAGCTCAAGACTGAGTTGTATTCCCAAACACTGAAAGTGACTGGTGAATGTCAAAGGAGTTTCAAAGCCAGACAGTTGCTGTCATGAAGGAAAGGAAGAATGAGAGAAGAGTGAGGACTTCCAAGAGACAAGTGAGAGGAGGAACAAAGAACCCTGTTGCATCACATTAAAAGAGAACATGCTTTTCCAAAACTGAGGGAAAAGCCATCGTAGGCAGTGGGTTTTTTTCAAGTGACTAGAGAGGCTCACAAGACAGCCTAACTAGCTAACTCTAGCTAACTCTCCTGCACACATGTAAGGCACTGTGGGGGTGACTAGGCAGGCTTTATCACCCCACATTCACCCTTCCCAGTTCTAGAGGTACTTACCTATTAGGTCCTCCAAGAAGGGTAAGCGCCATCTGACTGGCACATACACCTGTCATCTCCAGTCTCCGCTCCAAGGTCAGCCCATGCTTCTCAGCTACAGATAATAGCTTTTTATGCAGTTCATAGGAAACACTTGGGACCACCAGGCCAGAGTCTATGGTTCAATAGGAGTCAAAGAGATAATGGGAAAGTGACTATGGGAAACCAGATCCAAAAGAGGTACACTGTATTCTGAATTCTGCACATGCCAATATTTTAAGACTAATCCTCTGCTGGCTTATCATCTTCCTCTTCCTCTTCTGGGACTGAGGCATACCCTGCAGTCTCCAGAACTTAAGTAGAAAATGATGAACAAACTTGTTTCATATCAAACTCATCTTCCCTTAGGAGTTTAGCTTTAGACCATGAAGGACAAACCCACCATGTGTTTTGGGTACTACCAAAACTCGTTTTAGGTCCTATGTTCTCAGCTATATTGGATTGTAAACTCTTCAAAGTAGGAAAATATGTCTTTTACTTCTTTGGCCCTCACCTCCCCAATTTGTTCCAGCCACACTTATCAACATAGATTGAGTTTTCATCAGGTGCTCAAACATAAAAATGATGGAAGCCTTGTGCTATTTTGGAACTCACCTAACTTTTAAGGTTTAAATTTTCAGCAAATTTATTACCATCTCATTGACCCAGAGTCCTGTATAAAAAACTTGGCCTCTTCATTGGTCATTTCAGAATAAATTTTAAGTTCTCCCAGATATCCAGTCCCATCTACAGAGATTCTGAGCACCACGGTGAGGCTATGGCTGCACATTTTAGCAATAGGAAGCCAAGCACAAAGATTGATCCTATAGCATCCAGGTCTGTATCCTCTTAAGACAGCAGAATGAAAACAATTTAAGGTAATTATAATAATATAAAATGCCTAATATATTAAAGACTATTCTACTAATGCTTTCCTCTACCTGCCTAAGTGCTATTTCTGTTTAGAGCAGAGGCAACAAACAGTGCCATTAGGTTGGAGTGCAGAGTCTCTCCTATCACCTTTCTGAAATGTCACACACTGGTGTCCTAGCTGCCAATGCTGGAGGCAGCAACCTGTCTTTGTGTGTCAACAGCTGATTAAAAGAGCCATTTTTATGACCCACTTCAGACATGCAAAAGTTATCAGAACTCACTAGGAACCCTTGATCACAGTGTGAAAAAGTTGGCTAAATTCTCAAGAGTCTTAAGCCACTAACAATCTCAAACTTGTCAGACAAGTCATGCACCTTACCTACTTCAAACACTCTCTTTATGTACAAACTTACACAAGGTAGAACATTCATCCAAGACACTGCATTCCTCTATCCATTCATCAGAACTTTCTCTGATGAATCTGAATAGGTGAGGGCAGAGTTCTTGGGCTGCTACCCAACAAATCAAGCTCCCTTCTGGGTCTGGCTCCTACTGCTAGGTTGTTCTCTCGCTTCCAACATCTCTGTGGATAAGCAGAGCCATTGCTGCTACCTACCCCACCTTGGCTGGCTAGATGTACAGCTGGACATTGAGCTTCTTACCATCTCCCCACCAGTCTATGTTGGGGTGGGGTGGGTGGAGGCACTGCTGATGAACTGACATATTTTTATAACCTAGACTGCTCACAGTCTGGCAGTAATGGGGTTTAGAACTCCACTATCCCTTACTCTGATTGCTTCTCTGAAAGCAATGTGCAGCACCAATTTCTTATTTTAAACATTTACACACTAGTCCAACTAGTAAAACTGGCTTATCAGAAACAGGCAGAGGGAATAAAATAAACTCCAAAGGAAAGGAACCAAGAACATAGCGTGTAAAATGCAAACAATAACACTGTCAAAGCCTGAACATGTGCCAAGTCTAATTATGTTTGGGTTGGAAGGTGGATCTTTATTGTTTAGGAATCAAGGCAATAAAATCAGTTGAGGTTGCTCTGAATATTAATATGTATTTTACAGCTGTAGATGAAACAATAAAGGGAGCTATAATTACAACCAGTTCGTGACATGCAGAGCACTCCTTAGGATCTGATTAACCTTAGGGCATCAAAGCAAATGACTCAAGCACAAGCAGGTCAGTCGAGGAAAGAAGATTCTCCCTGCACAAACCCATTCCACAGCATGGCTACCTCCTGAGGCCACAGATCCAGCAGCCTAGTCCAATATTGCATGTGCCTGACTCTTGCCATGTGTTCACTTCTATTCTGCTCATTACAGTACCACTGAGGCCTTTCCCTCCCCATGGATATGTGAGCACATTCTCATACCTTCCATGGCACCTCTCCTCCCTCAGACACCTTGTTGCACCATATCCAAGCTCTTTCTTCCCAACTTCCCCAGCCTTTCTGCTGTGTAACAGACTCCCACAACCAATTGCTCTCTCAGATCTAACTCAATTCTCATCTGGACATGGCCCTCTAGTTGGAAAGGCTGTGTGAGTCCCAAGTCTCAACAACAAGAAAGAGCAGAACTCATTAATGAGCATGGAAGTTCTCTAGATCTGTGAATTCTAATTCCATTCTGCAGTAGTCACAAAATGGGGCAGTGATATCACACACTTTTGGGATACAAAACCACTGGCAAATTGGTGCCATAAAGACAGCCCAGCAACATAAAGGCAGTTCCTGGAGCTTTACATTATAGCTACCATAAAATACAATTTGTTGTCAAATGTATCTCATAAAGAAGGATTCACCGTAAAGACTCTATAGTCAACTACTTTTTTGGCCCATAAGACATTCCATAATTTGGCCACATCTTTCACATAACCTTGACCTTGTACCCAACCCCCACCAAACCCCAGACACCTTGGCTGCCTTCTGGTGCCTAAATACTCCAAGTTCCTTTTGGCTTCCCTCCCCTGACACTCTCTTCTTTTCTGATGCTACCCACATAGTGCTGGGTTTTCACTCTTGGCTGAATATCCCTTCATCTCAGCATGTTAACTTATTTCCTTCATTGTATTTAATACATCTGTAAGTAATTTTTTAAAAACTTTTTAATTCACCTTGCTATACTGCAAGCTCCACAGAGGTGGTAACTCAGCCTTGTTCATTGCTGTAACCCTTATTCCTCACTTTGCCCTTAATAGCACAGTGTTTGGAGAACAGTTTTCTAGAAAAAAGTTACAAAAGTATGTTAAATTACTGGAAAAATAGGGAGGGAAACCTGTACAACAGATCTGAGGTCAGCCTCAGGGCATTCCATTCTTCAGTTGGATAAGGACCCAGCTGTAATCAAAGACACTGGAGTGCAAGATGTTTCTGACTCTTACTCCACTCCTTCTCTTTCCCAGTTATAACTGCACCAACTTTCTTATTCATATTGGGCCTCATTCTTCCAGACCAAAGCTCCCCAACTATTCTCAATAAGATAACTTACTAATTATGAGAATGAAAATTATCTTTACAATGAAAAAAATCTGGAGGAATTTTGACAGCTTATCAAGTGATCAAATGTCCCAATGATGAGACAATATGATATGGGGTGATGGTGATGCTTCAGAAACATATACAGAGAGCACCACTCCAATCCTGGACAACATGTTTAACATGAATCAAAACAAAAGGAAACAAAGAATTAAAACTAAAGGATATTCTACAAATCAACTGCTTTAAAAAATACGGCTATAAAAGACATTATTGGGACAATTGGGAAGTATTGCATATAGAGTATTGTAAAAATATTACATAATATTTTTGTGCAGAATGAACAGATAAGGGTACAGAAAAAGTATAGAAGGATCAAACAGAACTAATTTCAGGGGACAGAGGGAATCTATGGGGTAGCATGACAAACTAACAGATTGTGAAAATTTCAAGAAAAATTATGAAGGAAACAGCAAACCTGGAGCCAGAATATAATTCAAGGTTATATCCTTGAATATAACCAAGGATAAAGAGAAATTTTCTGCTTCAAAAGGAATCCACACTGTCTACCATTCAATCAGAAAAAAAAAAAAAAATGGTCTCCTTTCTTTCTTTCTTTTTTTTTTTTTTAGATGGGGATGGTCTTGCTAATTTGCCCAGGCTGGCCTCAAACTTGTAATTTTCCTGTCTCAGTCTCTCAAATAGCTGGGTTTATGGGTATACATCACTGTGTCTGACTCCAGATTTGAATATTTATGAGAAGGAAAAAGAAAAAGTGGCCCAAAATTTCATGATGGACATCTGAAGAACAGTGAGTATGAGGATATAAATGGGAATGCCAAGGAATCAGGGTACTAGCGGGCATGAACAACTCAGCTTTGGTGTGCTGAATTTGAGGAAGATGGTGGATATTTGCAATCAAACTCCTTTCTTACTCTGGCTAGACCCCTGTGGTTCTGAGGACACATATTAGCAAAGTAGCCACATGAGTAGAGATCAATGCAGTTCTGGTATGAACAATCGGGAGGCATCATCAAAAACTCAGGTTGTGGCTGAGGATGTGGCTCAGGAGTAGAGCACCTGCCTAGTATGCATGAGGGCCCTGGATTCAATCACCAGCACCATCAAAAAACAAAAACAGGGACTGAGATTGTGGCTCAGCGGTAGAGCACTCGCCTCGCACATGAAGGACCCTGGGTTCGATGCTCAGCACCACATAAAAATAAATAAATAAAATAAAGGTACAAAAAATTTATAAAAAATAAACAATAATAACAAAAATAAAACTCCATACCCCCACCCTCACCAGGCCCCAAACCCACAAAATACAAAATAACCCGCAGGTTATCAGACTATACTGTGCTAGGCTTCCGATCCTCTAGTTTGCAATTAAAACTCTTAAAATTCTGGCCATAGCTGCTATGAAGTCTTTTCCAGTGGAAATCTGTGAGAAGTACAAGGTTCATTACTGGGGTCATATTCCAGCCAAAACACCTATCTTAACTGTGCAGGCCTTCGTAAGACCTCATGTGATTGCCAATAAACACAAGCAAGCTCTACCATCTGCCTGATTACATAGGCCCAGAAGCTCTGAAGGTTTTTAAGAGAGAAATGGGAGTAATTACTACCTGCATTCCCTGGCACTAGAGGATCTGCTAGAACATGCTGTTCCCCAAATCAATCACAACAGTCTGTTTGCAGAGAGACAATTTCAGAAACTAGGCTCATTAGCTCTGCTAAATGAAAAGTTGTGCCACTTGGTATAGATGTACAAG